AGATTCTGTTTCTTTTTTTCCTTCTGATACTAGTTCTTGGCTTTGTGTTCCTTACAAATTTAGAAATAAGGTCTTCAAAATAGAACATGGAATTGCTATATAATATCAGACCACTTTTCTTACTACTGTGCTCTCTCATTTTGCACAGCATTTGAGTTTTGATGCTTTATCAGAAAACCGTATCTTGAAAATGCAGGCAGCTTTGCCCAGGTAGCAACCTTGGAATTCTTCCCTAATGCTTTAGAGTTCTCAGTTGTAGTTTATTCCTTTACCATGTGATTTTTTTCTTTTTAAGGGGACAGTCTTGCTCTTCCCTAGGCTGGAGCGCAGTGGTTTGATCATAGCTCACCATAGCCTCCAACTCGAACTCAAATGTTTCTCCTGCCTTAGCCTCCGGAGTAGCTAAGACTATAGGCATGTACCACCACACCCGGCTAATTTCTATTTTTTTGTACAGAGGGGCCTCACTATGTTGTCCAGGCTGGCCTCAAGCAATCCTCCTGCCTCAGCCTCCCAAAGCACCAGGGATTAAAGATGTGAGCCATTGTGCTTAATGTGATTTAGCCTTGGACTTGAGTAAATGAATAGCTTTCTAACTCCTGTTTCAAATGTAATGTCTAGAAGGAAAATTTGGAGGGAAGGCCCAACATTTATCATGTTAAATGTTGAGGAACTTGGAGCTATACTGTGCATTGAATTCCAGGAACTTTTTCAAATTTTGTGTCATGTTCCAGAGGTACTTTGATGTAACTTTCCTCTATTAAGTGAAATCATTAGAAATTATATTTGAATTCCAGAGAAACCTTTTTTTAAAAAAAAATTTAGTAGGTTTTGCATATTATGGACTATTTTGGGAATTTTAGTAACTAAGCTACAGGTAATTTAAGTAACAGGTAACATTTTTCTGACTCTAGGTGGAAATGTGCAAAAATTTGCAGTTAACTTACGACTTTTTTCCAACACTTTTTGTTGTAAAATGCACATAAAATTTGCTATCTTAACGTATTTCAGGTGTACAGTTCAGTGGTATTAAGTACATTCATATTGTTGTACAGCCATCACTGTCATCCATTTCCAGAACTCTTCATCTTACAAAACTGCAATATACCAAACCTGTGGCCTTCTGGATCC